CCCCCCCAACTGTTGGTGCCTCTATGTTAACATGCAGGTCTCTCTGAGCAGGTCGTGCTGCTTCTCTCCTGGAGAAGATACTGAGCTCAAAGTCAGCAGGCTTGCAGCTCCCATTGTCATTTACACATGCGCAAGGGACTGTGATCTGACAGTGCCTAAGCCCTGTTGTGCGCAAGAGGAAGTCATTATGGGAGGTTCAAAGTAGCAGGGAACTTGATCTGAGGCTGTTCTGTCCGAGTAGGACTCTTGCAGCTGACTGTTCCCGTTTGTCCCCTTTGGCTTAATCTGTTGGAAAAAAGCCCACCAGTTCACAAAACCAGAATAATAAAAAGCACTCAGAAAAGCCTGCAGATAAAAATCTGTGCCTAAATAATTGACGTTGAAAAAGCTGAGATCAGGAGCATGAAAGGAAGACATCCTCCTATTATAGTTATGCTGTCTGATCTTTTCACTGAGAAGGTGACAATTTAATTTCCTTCTCTGCTCCCTATTGCTCTGAACTACATGTAAATAAATGTGAAAAAGGAACGATGCTCCTAAATAGTTCTCACAGGTTCTGTGAGTTTGGCATTAGCAAACCTATCTCATTTGAGCAAACCTCCATCTTCCTTTCAGTTTTCACCCATAACTCATCCAGGGTAAATTTAATTTTAAAGTTAAGACAAGTTGGAGACAGGTCCTTCATGTTGGTTTCACCTTTGTGTATATCCATAGATATAAGCACATTCCTGTTCATAGGTATGTAAAAGAAACTTTAGTTCCCAAGAATTAAATACATGATCATACTCTTTTTGCACTAGTGTGCAGAACTGGAGAGGTAGTAGACTTAAAATGGGCAGCATCGATTGAGATTGCGGTTTTGCAAAACACTTAGAGCATGTACTCACCTTGAGGTCCAGGGTTTAAAACACATGCTGGTGGATCATCTTTAGCTGTAGCGCTTTTTTGAGTTCAGACCTAACTGCATTGTAACTCGACTGTATGCCATCAGATAGTGAAGACACTGATCTTCTCTCAGTGAAATGCTAAAGTTCACAATGAGGTTATTGAGGCTAATGATAGTTACTCATGGGCTTTGGTCCTGTACAGAGCGGAGAAGAGGAACAAAGGCCCATGCATTCATGATAGATTGTAGTGTAAGACTATTTCAGACACGGTATAGTGAAGAGTTAAATAGACAATGTTGAAAAACAATGTGGTCCAGTGGTCCCAGTGCTGGCCTGGAACACAGAAGATGTGGTATTGTTCCTGGTTTTGCCATTGATTTCTATTTGCAACTGCCTTCCTTCCCATCGCTCATTTGTCTTGTCCACTTAGACTGCTGAAGGAGCTGTCTCTTCTCTATATGTCTTGGAGACCCAGTACATTAGGCTTCGTGTCAAAAAATACTTAACGGCATTAAAAGAAACAACTGTTCTTAGGTTGATGCTGATTTGTTCAACAGAATACTTGTCCTGACTTGCTTACCATATGGTGGTGATAAAAGGAGTTAATGGACATGTATTTTTATCAACTGATGTACTGGGCTTGAGAATCTATAATGTAAAAAATTATGTTAAAAAATTAAGCATGTTTTCTTTTTCTCCTGAAATCTCTGTGACTACAGGTATTGCAGCTGGGCTCCGAAATCCTCCCGCAGTACAAACAAGAGGCACCAAAGACTCCGCCACATATAATTTTGCATTATTGTGTTTTCAAGACTACCTGGGACTGGATCATCTTGATTTTAACCTTCTACACTGCTATTTTGGTCCCTTACAATGTCTCCTTTAAAACCAAACAGAACAATGTGGCATGGCTAGTAGTCGACAGCATTGTAGATGTCATTTTTTTGGTAGACATTGTCCTTAATTTCCATACCACCTTTGTGGGGCCAGCAGGAGAGGTGATCTCTGACCCAAAGCTGATTCGCATGAATTACTTGAAGACCTGGTTTGTGATCGATCTGCTCTCATGCTTGCCGTATGATGTCATCAATGCATTTGAGAACGTCGATGAGGTCAGTATACTAGTTCCACTTCCACTCATTAATTATTACTTTATGATTGGGGGGCAGTGGGGAGAGAAGAAAGAAATGTATGCTTTTAAATATATTGAATTAGCGTACATGTGTCTCTAGTAGCTGCCCTCAGCACACATAGAAGTTTGCCTATGAGTCCTGGTCAGAAGGGTCCATCTTTAACTGTACTGGGAGAGGCTGAGGTTTTTGGTGTCACAAATCTGTTTGTTTTCCTTCATTTTACATCCTCAGAGTTCGGGAGGACAGGCGGAAGCAGGCAGCAGAACCTTGGTTCAGCACTGAGGAAAACTGCTTCCTCTGACTTACCATGAATTGCTTGAACTGGTGTGTCAGGGCAGTTTCTTGGGGCATGGTTCTCTTGCTTTCACTGTTGACTGAACAGGGTACGTCCACTAATGGCAATTCTTCACGTGAACAATTGGGATGTATGAAACACTTCAGCTGCTTCTGATACAACACAGCAGGTGGCAAAGAGGCAGGTAGTGACTCCCTAAATCTTCTTAGACCACCAGAAAGTAGCGTGTGGGTATCTGGTGATCCATGCGGCATTGTTTCGCAATAGTTGTTTTAGAGGAAGGTGACGCAATTGAAGATGCTGTTTTGATGCTTGTTTGGTAATTCCATAATTAGACAAAAGGATAGGGAGAAATCTGGAAATCTAGACTCCTCCTTAATTCTTGCTCATTTCTCTGGGAACAGGTCACAAGCCAGCAAAAGAACTAACAATCAGACGCTTAAAACCACAATACTACCCTGTTTTAACCGCTTATTCTCCTACTGGATCAGGCTGCCAAGAAAATATTCCTAAACTAAATATATTAAGGTTGCAAGCCTAAATAGTTCAGAGAGTTAATGAATTGTTAATAAAATCTTAAAGAGGGTTCCAGCGGTCCACTTTCTAATTACATGTTATAAAATCTGTATGATCAACTATTTATGTGTCTGTATTTATCTGTGACACATACTAAACCTGTAACATACCTGCAGACCTCATCAGTGCTTAATATCTAATTACCTGTAAAACTTAATTTTTATGAGTTCTTTTGAAATATGCCCATGTTATAAAGGACAACCTAGCTATTAAAAGAAAATTTTACTAAGTGAAATATCTGGGTAAAAACATAAAACCACGTTACTTTTGTAAAAATACACAGGTTTTTATCAAATTTAAAGTATTTAAAGTATTTTTCTCAATGATTTGAGGACAAGTAGGCAAACTATTGAATGTAGTGGAAAAACCATGATGTTATTTGATATTTAATTCCCTAGAGAGGTTTTCATTTTATATAAAGCTACAGACTGAAATAACACAAATGAGATCAAGCAAAAAAGCTTTGTGAAGACCTGTCCTTAAATATTTGTTTGTCATAAAAAGGACCCAGGCTGCAGATTACTTGGCAATGCTTTCACATATTACTTTGCCGTGACACTGATAAAGCAATGGAAGGAATGGCCATATGTTAGTTTCTGACATTTAGACTGAAAGAGTGGGGGAAAAAAAAAGCAAGAGACAAAAAAAAAAAGGAAGGAAGCTTTTCTCACTCACTGCAGATAGTAGCAACCTGCTGATGATATAGCTGGAGGAACGTTTCATAACTGTAGACTGGTGATGTGACCTACAGAACATCCCTGAGGAAAATGTCCATACCAGTGGCTGTGACAGCCCTTGAGCTGAGCACGGGTGCGCTCAGACTCACGATAGCAATTCTGCAGAGAAATTCTTGTTGTGCGAGTTTGAATTTCTCCAGGTTCTCCATCTCAGTGTTGCCTTGTATCAATGAGAAGCTGATTGGTACTTCAGTTTTCCTATGGCTCTTCAACAGTCTCCTTAATCAGTATAACAGTGTTAGTTTTAGTTATTCTAGCTAACGTGCCCAAGGAAAAAAAGATTTTTCTTGATGCTGTCCTTTCAAGACTGTTGTCTCTATTTCCCCTAGTGGGTTCTGACATTTAGCTGGTATAAATCATTGTAGAGTCATTAGAGCAGAGTTTCCCTTGGTGTAAATTGTTGTACTTCTATTAAGGGCTCATAGACTGGTTTACAGGACCTGAAGGGCTTTGCCAGCAATGCCAGCAGAATAACTTAGTGCACATCAGGTGGGGATTTAGGACAGCGCATGCTGATCACTGTTTCATGAACTGCCTATAGAGAGAAAGATAACCTTTTATTAAAGAAGAAGAGCAAAAATGCCGCACTCGAGGAGTCTTGAAAGTAGAAAATCATTGCCTTCTCTGTTGTGTAGAGCATTCCCTTGTCGATCAACTCCCTTTGTTTCAAACTTGCTTGTTTGAATTTTACCTGTATCTCACGGTGGATTACACACCATATTACTTCACAGTTGGATTAAGTCAGCTTTGAGGCTGCACTGCTCGGGGTACAAGTAGGCAAACTGGTTTGTTAGCTGCGTGTCACTTTGATTTTGCCAGAGGGAATTCCCTTGGAGCCATGAGACTGGAGTAAGTAGTAGATGGCCACGGCTGCTGCAGGGATGTTTTGTTTTGTTTTTTTTTTTAGTCATAATGTGAATGCTCTTATAAAAATTCCCACAGATTAAATGATACCCAGAGTCAACATTGGTGATAAAATGAGATGAAGAATATGAATTGCTATTTTCCTGTTTCGATGTTTTCCATATATGATTTTAAACAGGAGGAAATACAATCCTGTCTTTGTTGCAGTCCCTATAGTGAAGGGGGACCAGGGCAGGTGGAAGCTCACTGTTTTTTCTGCCTGCTGTCATTCTCTGTTAAAAGAAACATCACTGAAGATGCTGAAGATGTCATGGAGGAACTAACTTGACAAGTCAATTTGTTTTTAAGAATACCGTAATTACTGTGATGGAGACAAATTGATTTGCAAGGGACACAGGACCTGGAGCTGAAGAAATAAAAAGCTATGTATATAGGGTGTTGAGGATCTTTTTGCTTTGGGTAATTTTGGGACTGTCCCATCACTTAGCTCTTGATAGATTAATAGTGGAACTATTTTTGTCATTTTTAGAGTGATCCACCAATCTAAGATTGATTATAACATATGAAACTAGAGTTGATAAATATTTTTGACAAGCAGATACAGATACTATTTTTAAAAAATTCTGAAATTGGATTTTTTTCTATTTTGAAGTAACTTTTTGTTCTGCAATTTACTTCATTATTCCATTATAAGACATAATGGAAAATGTTTTCTTGAAACAAAAATGAGTGCGAGTTCTGCATTTTTCAGGCAATTTCAAAATTCTTTGGGTTTGTTGCAGTTTGGGACATTAGTATATTTTCAGTTCACATTTTTTAATGTAATTGAAATTTCAGTTTGCTCTCTGCATGGTTGAGAGTATTTTTGTCCACCAAAATAATGTGAATTCATTAACTATTGATTAATACAACTATTAATAACTACAATTAATACAAGAGGCACTTAAGTATGAATAGCCACATTCTACAGATGGAAGAGGAAACAAAAAATCTTAATGTCTTTGTTCAAGGCCATAGAATTAAATATGAGAATGTATGAAGCTTCTGATCTCAAGCGCTGTGCTCAAAGAGGCAGTACGCTATCTCATGTTCAGACAGGAACAGAATTCAACAAATGAAGGAATGAATAGCTGTAGAGAAATTTCCATTGTTACCCAAATGAAAGAAAAGTTATAAACTTTTCTCCTGGCTTTTCTATATGGGAAGCTAATTATACAGTTAAATATTAAGTACTTTCTTGACCTACCATAGAACTTCAAGGAAAGAAAATATCCCACTCGTTGATGAATCAACTTAATGCTAAGCTTAAACTTTCCACTGTTAAGACAATACATCATGCTGTAGTATAGTTCGAGTAAGAAAAGAAAATGTTGGTCTAAAATTTACGCAGCCCTTAAGACATGTGGTACTAATCTCTTTTGAATTTGAATGATCACAATAACAATTGTCAGTAATCCTTTACATTAATTAGTAGTATTCCTCACTTAAGGAGATACCACCTACTTTGGGGGATAATGTTATCTTTTTGTGTTCAGACATCAATCAGTAGATTTAATAAAAAACAGACTTAAAGAAAATTCCACAATTTTTGCCAAGAACAATGCAATTTAAGACTTTGAATTCCAAAGGCAAGTTGAAGCATATTTTTGCAGTGTCAGCTTGAGCAATTTTATACTGTGGTTTTCAGCCATAATACCATAAGATATAATTTATATTGGAAAAAATTTAACTTGTTACATGTGACACTGTTGTTGTGAAATCTTATAGTAGGAGTGGAATCCAGTCGTGTCACCACCATATAAATCTCTGAAATAGGGAGTTTGTAGTAGTAGTTGCTATCTGTATTTGGACGGAACACTATGATCAATTGTTGGCTGGTGTCAAATTGAGAACCATAGATCACTCTTATTAGTTGAGGTAGAAAAGAAATAAATGCATAGTGAAAGATCATCAGGAAAGATGTATTCAATATAAATGATGTAGTGTTCACTTAAGTGGATGAATAAGAGAGAAGCTAGCATGTAGGCAAAGAAGATAAACAGCTTTGAAAGGGCAAAATTTATGATGATAAAAAAAAGTCCCAGAAAAAACATAATACAGAACTAATAGAAATAAATTAAGCTATTTAGTGCTGAGTGAGCATGGTGTAGCTGAAAATAAACAGTGAGTTGAGAGAGGAAAAAATGAATCTGTTGCTGGTCAGATTGTTGGCAACTGTCTGAGGCAGTACTTTTGCAATAGATTAATTTAAACCTTATTAGTGGAATAATCTCTCATGCTAATACAAATTAGCTATCTAGGAATTACTGAAACAGCTACACTGAAAAGCATGCAACTTCCCTAGACTTGTCTTACCATTTGCTTGCAATAAGGGGCAAGGGAATAAATTATCATATTTATAGTTTTAGGGAATAAACAGGGGCCTATAAAGAGAGATTTTGGGTTAGCTGAATTTTGCAAACTGGAAAATGTAAAGGACTTTAAACTGTGAACAGCTGTATAATATG